CAGATGGTTGGGGGCAAAGAGGCTGACTCTGTAAACCGCTTAGAGAGGGCTGGAAAAGCCCTGGGAAGCAAGATACAAGTCTTAAGTGCTATTGCTACCTTCCAGCATGCTTGCCAAGTATTGCAGCGTCTGAAAGATCTCGGCCGCTATCCACGCATGATAAAAGGTGTGTAACTGGGAACTATCGTGAAAGGCTGCCGGACAGGACTTTGCTGGAGAGGAAGTTCATTGTAAATTAAAATAAAGGGAGTTTATTGGGACTTGCGCTCGGCTTCACCCCCAACCCACTCCTGCAAGACCCAGAACCGTCCCTGCACTCCGAGGCCCAAGATTCTGGGTCCACGCTAGACCCGGCTCGCCCAGTCCTGCGACCTGCCTCCCCCCCATCCTTCTCCCCCATACCTCAGCGCAGAGCTGGAAGTACACCATGACGATGCTGATCTGGGAACAGGAGACCACCAGGATGATAAACACCAGGAATAAGAAGCCGAAGAGGTAGTAGAATTGATTCTCCCAGATGGCCTGGATCGAAGAAAGACGCGGATACATTCAACGTCTTGGTTATCCCCTTGAAAGCCCTGCGTGGCACGGAACCGGGCTACCCGGGGGGACCCTCTCGCCCCTAACCATCCCAAAATGGGACTGGCTTGCCCCACTCGGGCAGGAGGAGCCTGCTGAGGTGCCAGCTGGCCAAGGAATTCTGGAAGGGTCTTTTCTGCTGTGGTCCCTGCCCTCAGGAACAGAACCGGATAGAATAAGAGAGTTGGAAGGGACCTTGGAGGTCTTCTAGTCCAACCCCCTGCTTAGGCAGGAAACCCGACACCATCCCAGGCAAGGGGCTGTCCGATCTCTTCTTAAAAGCCTTCCAGTAATGGGGAACCCACAATTCCTGGTGGTAAAGAGTCCCACTGGTTAAATATCAGGAAATTCCTCCTCAACTCCAGGTTGCTTCTCTACTTAGATCAGTTTCCATCCGTTGCTTCTTGTCCGGCCTTCAGGGGCTTTGGAGAATAGCTTGACTCCCTCTTTTTTGGGGCAGCCCCTGAGATATCGGAACACAGTGTGGCCCTCAAGGTGAGACCTGCACCCTCCATTCTGGCCTTCAGAAGAGACCTTCAAACTGGCTCTCTTGGATGGCCTGGGGCTCCATGCTGGAGGTAGTTAGTGAATTAAATCATCCCGTTGCATGATGGTTCCTATCTCATCTAATGCTAATTCATTTTAATATCAGGTAGTCCTCGACTTAAAAGCCGTTCCTTTGGTAACCATTCAAAGTTACAACCGCTGAAAAAAGGGACTCCTGACCATTTCTCACACTTTAACAACCGTCACAGCATCCCTTGTGGTCATGGGACATACGTTTGGATGCCCACTCGCTTTTACGACGGAGTGTCCCGTGCTCTCCTTCTGCGACCTTCCGACAAACAAGCTCCGTGGGGAAAGCCCGATTCGTTTAACAACCAGATTACTTACTTAGTGTGCTCAGGCTCACATTTATGACGGTTGCCATCAAATATTGGAAGATGCTCTCCTGTCTCCCCTGGTCCTTCTCTTCCCTAGACTAGCCAGGCCCAGTTCCTGCAACCATCCGTCGTATGTTTTAGCCTCCAGTCCCCTCATCATCCTGGTTGCTCTTCTCTGCACTTTTTCTAGAGTCTCAGCATCTTTTTTGTAGTCTGGTGACCAAAACTGGACGCAGTACTCTAGGTGTGGCCTTACTAAGGCTTTACAGAGTGGTATTAGTACCTCCCTCGGTCTTGATTGTATCCCTCTGTTAATGCAGCTTAGGGTTGCATTGGCTTTTTTGGCTGCTCCTGCACAACATTGGCTCCTATTTAGCTGGTTGTCCACTCAGACTCCAAGATCCCTCTCCCAGTTCCTGCTATTGAGCCTGGTTTCACCCAGTCTATACGGGTCCTTTGGGTTTTTCTTGCCCAAGTGTAGGACTTTCCTTTTCTCTACATTGAATTTCATTTTGTTAAATATGGTCCAGGGTTCTGACCCCTTGGGACACAGCAACCGTCATAAATGTGAGTCGCTTGTCCAGCATCTGAATATAAATCACGCAACCCTGGGGGCGCTGAAACAGTCATATGTGTGAAAAACATCCCAGAGTCTCATTTTTCGTCGCCAACGGAACCACGAATGGTCAGTAAGCAAACTGTTGTTACGTTATAGGATGCCGAAACAACTCAGAAGCTCTGTCCCCAAAGGGGATTGATTGTGTTACAGGAAGCACCACAACTGGGTGGGGAATTGTGGGTCTGGGCAATGAATATTTCGCCTTCAGAGGCCCAAAGCCGCTGGGGCACTGGAGGGGGTGGGGGGGGTGTGGAGTGGGGACCGCAGGACTTACGCTGAAAATGAAGAAAAGTTCAATAAACATGGCGCCAAAAGGCAGAATTCCAGCCATGAGGATCCTAGGAAGGGAGGGAGGGAAAGAGAGTCATTATGGAAGCAGGTGATCCTGTGCACAGATCCCTCCGCTGCGTAAACTGCTATTTTATTAACTAGTCGATAACCCGGCGTTACCCAGGTATTTTTTTTATCCTAGTCCCCGCCTCCTGGCGACTGGCTCAAAGTCACCCAGTTCTCTTTCATGCCTAAGGCGGGACTAGAACTCCCCGTCTCCTGTTGATTGGCTCAAAGTCACCCA